TGTGAAGTCAGCAGTGCATTTGTGGCTTAAAGCTTAGCCTAAAACATTTTAAAATAAGGGAACAAGACAGCTTCTTGACAGATGGACAAAGTGTATTGAAAAGCAAGGAGATTATGTTGAAAAGTGATGTTTTTGTCTTTTCTAAAAGTTGATTAAAATAAATTCTACAGCCAGTGTGGATAAATTTTTATGCACCATTGTATACTACCTCTTGAAATGATTGAGAATAAAACAATTGTTTATCATATAGTAACTATCTGTATTCCTTCCATCTTCTTTTAAGGCTTCCATCATCATTCAGTATTTTTCCCATAGACTCCATCAATACTGAAAGCTGAGGTTTGATTTTTTTTTTTTTTTTTTTTTCAGTTATTTCAGCTTGAAAGAACATATGAGGGATTGATGTTATGTTCCACAGTTTGTCCTTGGTCTTGTTTTGATTGATGATATTGAGAAATATTGAGCATGTTCTTTCCTTTTGATTTTCTCATTCCAGGTCATTGCACATTTCCTTGTAATACTTGTCTTCTAGAACTGTCCTTGAAGTTTTCTGTTCATCTCTTTTACTTCATTATTCTATTCCCTTTAGCTTCTCTATGCTGAAGAGCAAGTTTGAGAGTCTCTTTTGATATCCATTTTGGTCTATTCTTTTTTTCTTCCTTGTTTTTTTTAATGATTATTTATTTCCTTCATGTGTGATGTTCTTGATGACATTACACAACTATTCTGGTCTTCTGTTATTACTATCAAATGCATCAAATGTGTTCTTTAGAGGGTATCTAACTTAAGGTGGGATATATTCAATATCATATTTTGATTCTCATGGAATTGATTTAATTTTCAGCTTCAGCCATACATTCATATGAGAAATTGATGGTGTGTGCCACAGTTTGTCCCTGGTCTTGTTTTGTTTGATGATATAGAGCTTCTCCACAGATAAAGACAGATTGATTCCAGTGTATTCCATCTGGTGAAGTCCCCATGCATTTTTGGTGTTGTTGTTAAGTGCCATCAAGTTGGTTCCAACTCATAGCGAACCTGCATAGATTTTCCAAGGAGTGATTGGTAATTTTGAACCACTGATCTAGTGGTTTAAACTGACCTTGCAGCCTGGTGATGAAAATGTATTTTCAATGGATAAGTCATTAGTGTTGCAAAAATCTGTCCTGGAATTTCCAACATCATTTCTATCAACAAGGCCATATTTTCCAACAGTTGATCCTTCCTCTTTGTTTCCAACTTTTGCATTCCAATCACTAGTCATTATCAATACATCTTGATTGCAGGTTTGATCAATTACAGAATGAAGAAGTTGGTAGAATTATCCAAGTTCATAATCACTGGGTTTAGTTGTTATTAAGTGCTGTCAAACCAGTTCCTACTCATAGTGACCCTGTATAGGGTCTCCAAGGAGTGACTTGTGAGTTTGAGTTTGAACCACTGACCTCACAGCTTAAACTGACCTTGTAGTCCAGTTCATTATCCTGCAGTGCAATATATGTGAGTGGCATTAATTGGTCTTCTTGTAAGCATATGGATACTATAGCATAAAGACAGCACTATAGTTCAATATAGATCTTGAAATGCTCTTTTTGATGATGTCTGCAATATCATTCGTTGTAATTTGTCATTCCTGACATAGTAAACGATGTTGTCGTTGTTGTTGTCGGGTGCCATAGAGTCGGAACCGACTCATAGCTACCCCATGCACAGCAGAACAAAACAATGTCCGATCTTGAGCCAACCTCACTAC